CTTGTATTCTATCATTCTTGGTAACTACTGACAGAGAGAGGACCTTATTTACTCTCTTTTTTCTCCTCTTAATAGTCAGAGAACCGAGTACGGGATCGATTTCCAGTAAAATCTGACTGATTCTGACTAGCCGGGACTCGTACGGGATCGCAACTAATAACAACTGCAAAAGGTGAAGTAATAACGAAATTATTAGTCAAAATATAAAATTCACGTTCACGCTCGTGTTGAACCAAGAATGATAAAATACACCTGCATTCGCTGCACCGTGGTGTTGAACTGTATGGCGCACCTTTAGTAGCGAAGTGTTCAAATTTTTAATAATTTTCAACTTTTGTTTTGGTTGAAAATTATTCTTATTTCGTTTCACCCCCATTTTCATCCACAACAGATGTCGCAATTATCAAATCCGACGTGCAAAAGCGAATGTACGATGACAGCGAACGAACAAACGATGGACGAGCGAATGATAGACGAAAGTCTTTGAATTTTCGATTCTCACTTTTGCAATGAATTCGGTGTTGATCGCACGTCGGTACGTCGGTTACGCGTAAATTCTTTCGAAAATCTCTTAAAATTTTCTTAAATAATAGTGGTAAAATAAACAAAAAAAAATATTCAATTGTGCAAAATGTGCCAGTAAAAAATTAGTTTTAAAAAATGTCTCCCGAAAAGGTTTGCAATGCCAATTGCAAATTATTGATAATCAAATTGGGGAATGAGTGGAGTGAATTCATGCGAATGTAAATGGGAAGAGGAATAGTGGAAAGAGTAGAAAAATATTAAGAAGAAGCAGCATATGCAGCAACAAAAGCAAAGTGTGAGATTGCGAAGAGAAGAAATTTTAAAATTCATTTGCGAAGGTGATTAGGTATTATTGTTGTATATATAATAAATTAAAACGATTGAACGTTTCTAAAGTAAAAATTAATCAATGAAATTAGTGCACTAGCAAGATAGCGCTATGGAATTATAATTGAACAAAAAATGCACGTTACGTGTAAATTGCTTAAATACGCTGTCTAAAGCATGCATAACAGCAACAAAACGGAAAAAATGAAATAACCCAATTGAGGTCATACATTACAAGGTGGTGTTGAAATCGAAGTGTGTGTTGAATGGAAATTGTGCTTGGGTGCGGGCATCAGCAGCAAAAGCATAAAAAGTATCGTTTGTTGTCCAACAGGAAAAAGCAAACAGCTGCTGCGCTGGTCATTAGAGCATAACGCTTGCAAAAGGCCATAATAGGATTCGCTTTGCGCCCCTAGCGCACACATTTGTCCTTGCACACGCATACACAGCGCTAATAAACGTACTCCCTGCAGTGGGCAGGTGTTCTCCTATGTAAACTGCATAAATAATTTATTTGAGTGCTTCGCTGCGTGTTGTAAACTTCAAAATACTTAAATATAATTTAATAAC